TCAGACTTGAGGTGGTGGTTTATCCTATTGGCCTGCCTTCTGGGGAGGGGCCAGTCAGCTGGCTCACTGGCTGGCATTCTTTCGCTTAGTATCCTCCGGCATTTCAGATTAAATTTTCTGCATAAAAGATTGTCTTGCTCACTCAGAAAATGCAGCAAACAGGTGTCTTTGGGTTAAATTGTCTTAAGAAGATTCTTGTTCTCCAGGGCCTGCAGGCTTCAGTGCTATAGTCGTGTCCAGCTGTCTGCTGATTCCCAGCTTCCCTTTTTTTGCTTTATGCCAGCTAAGCTTGTCATTAACCACAATGCCTCTTGGCACATTCTGGTGTCTCTCATTCTAATATGTTCACAGGGGACATGCGATGTTGTTCAGATCAGCTCTGGCAGAGCCCTGGAGCCTGACAGCTAATAGCTGTCTCTCTCTGGTTTGCCTGATGTGTGCATTTAATGTTTGCCTTTTTTTGTTGTTGTCTTTTACATTTGGCTTCTTTATACCAATTTTGCATTCTGCCTCACATGTATCGGTCAGTCAGGGAAGCCTTCTGAAAATTATTCTTATGTCCAAACCAATGTGTGATCACGTTAGTACAGAGTCAAGGATTTACACCCTTGACTCCTACCCTGAGCATTTCTTTCCTGGATAAAATCTTGGGTCAGCTTCTGCTTCTGAAAGTTTCTCCTCACAGGTTTCTTTCTTTCTTTCTGATGGTAAAAAGCACATAAAACTTAACCATCCTAACCATTTTTCAGTCCTCACAGGTGTCTTTCCATACCCCTGACATGTGAGAGCCTGGCACAGTAGTCCTCTATGAAACTCAGCGGCAGATTTGGGTGGACATTTCTGTGACTGTGGCCCCAGGGCTGGGGCTGGGACATGCCCGGGGCCCTGTGCCCTGGTCGTGAGGATGGCTGCTGATAAGCCCACACCTCCATGGAGCTGCCCAGGGAGGGAGGAGCTCGGAGGAGAGCCTGGGCTGTAACTCATCTCCCACGGAGTTGTTCTGGCTGCCAGTGGTTGCCTGGCTTTTGTAACCGTCGCCAGTATGGAGCTGCACTCTCTAATCCCCTTCAACCAATGAATCATTCTTTGGTGTGCTCTGTGTGAAACTTCCATGAAACCGCAAGACCCTTTAGTGAGGTTTCTGAGTGACTGAGCTGCATGGGGCTGTAGGATGTGACTGTTCACAAACGCTGATACACTTTGTTCTTTAGATAAAAATGACTTTTATTAGACCACATCCCCCCTTTCCTTTTGAATTGCTCTCAGAAAATTGGCCAGACACCCACCTGCAACTGATCTTAGGTTCTTGAAGCAGAATCATTTGTAGCGAGGGCTGCATCCCCCACCGTGCCCATGGTAAAAGGCCCCGAGGAGCAAGGGGGTGAGAAGCCCCCAGCCGCAGGTCTGTTTTAGTTAGTGTGGTTAACTGGGCTCAGCAAAGCAACATTAAACGTGGCTTCTCCAGAAAACATAAAAAGTAAAATTCTGTGTAGCGATTGCTGAAGTCTACCATGCCTGCAGCCAGAGATGAGTATTTCACTCTTTTGGGTGAAACACAGCAACACGAATGTCCATTTTCAGTCATTCTGGAAAGAATTCAGGCAAAGGGACCCTGGTTTGGCCCTGCTAACTGTCCATGTGTCTGAGTCACTGGGTCCCTGGGCAGCCCTCTTACAGGGACACAGGGTGGTGGTGGAGGCAGCCTTTCACTGGTGGTGTCCACAGTCCATGTTCCAACTGAGACCAGTTTGCTGTCATGCATTTTCATCACCACATTTATTTTTTTTGAGGTGAAAAGCAGAAAGACTTGGGGGAAGAAAACTTTCCTTTGATGAATTTCACAAGAGTTAGTGTGAATCATGGAAGTTGAGATTTCATAAACTAAATGCATGTGGTAAGGAGCCCACGATACAAGCCCATAAAACATCCAGAAGTGAAAAAGATACCTTTTTTTACTTTCCCATTAATATGGATGGAAAGGGAAGGTGTATTTTAAAACTACATAAATGGAATGGCAACTCTTTTAACATGGTAATGCAGTTGGGCCACTGAGGTAGAAATGTCTTTGAAAACAAGACATTGACACACATAAGACCTCAGCCATACCTAATGATGTACAATATATTACCTGAGCTTTTTCTAATTAGGAGCTTAATTTTCCTTAAAAGGCAGTAATGATTTGTACTGCTTCCTCAAAGTAGTTAAATTAGGTCTTTACACAAAAAAAGTGTTGTGTTTGTTTTTTTTTAGTAAGCCTGATTTTAAAGACAGGTTTTGTAAGAAGTTTAAAATATTCCACTGTGAGCACTGAGACAGAAATCCACAGGCTCTCTCTTCTCTGGGCTAGAAAACATCCATTTAATTCTCCCCTTGAAGATTTGTGCAAGAGGTTCTTAGGTAAAGCCAAGTGCTTGTTAGGGATAAAGACAAGAAGATGTACATATTTTTGCTAATTTTAACACTGTTTGAAAACAGTCTTCTGGTACTAGACTTCTTTATTAAGTTCTCTAAAGCCTTTGAAAAAGAGTTTTCACTCAGTATGCCATTCTTTGTCAGCATAGGCTTGAGGTTTATTCCTTTTTCTCTGTCAAGTCCACAGATGTGAACAATAGTTTTTGATGACTCTGTGAGGGGCTAAAAACTCAGTGCCAGAAAGAAAATCTAGCTGCATGCTCCCTCTCAGGCAGCCCCTTTCCCCCTTCCCACCCTTCCCCCACCCACGAAATGCATCCTGTGACTCCAGACAGTGAAAAATTAATTAAACTTTCCAGAATGAAACTGGCAGAGGCAAGAGAGCTAGGGCTAGAGTGTCTGGATGTTGTACTTCCCAGGGTTGGGGGTGGAGAAGTGCCAAAGCAGTAGGCTGGGCTTGTGGTGAGGGGCTCTGCAGGGCCATGCTGGGCGCACACATGCACAAACAGGCCCCACGGTGGAGCCCCGCGGGCCAGGCAGGGTCCTGGGGAAGAACCCGTCCTTCGGGGCCTCGACAGGCTGTACTCCATCTGGGGCTCATTCTCTGGCCACGTTTTCCCCGGGACAGGGAACATTCCTCCTTTTTATGGCAGGGATTAACCACTTCCATAGCACGGGGTTTATGAGGAACATTCTTCTCCTGGCTGGGCCCCTACCTTTAACCTTTTAACTTTAGTATCATGATTTTTCACAGAGAATGTGTAAGATTGAGTATGGTTTTCCTGCAGAGGAGCTTGTAAAATTTAGGAGGAGGTTAAACATTTGTGCAACATTTCCTCTGTGGCCTAGCAAAGACAATTCATTTTGCCGATATTTGTGCATTATTATGGGAGAGTTTTGTTTTGTTTTGCTTTCTGTGGTTGTCTCGTGAACATGTGCTTCTTATTCTAGATATCTAAACCTTTTCTCCAAAGACAGGCTATTAGACAGGAGGGTGATGAACAGCACAGAGCAGGACAGAGGGCTCCTGGACAGTCTTCAGTGGGGCGGGCAGCCCAAGGACTTGCAGGCCAGAGCTGGAGCAGGGGGCAGCGATGCCCAGTTCTGAGTGGACTGGTGATGTGTGGCCTCACTGGAACAAGGTCGTTTCCCATCAGGGGACCCAGCCAGTCCCCCCTCCCACTCGCGCTGCCAGCCAGCCACTCTGCTGTCCTGTGTCCTCTTCTTGATGCCCTTCAGGGGACAGAAGACAGGGCATTTGTACGTTGCACACTGAGTTAGCTCCTGAGGTCACAGGAGAAGCCCAGGGGTTTCATTTCTGTTTTTCAAGTGCAGCGCCTTCATTTTTAGAGCAAACCTAGTCTTCATGTCAGCAAATGTTTGACCACTGGCTGGATGCAGAGCATTGTACAAAGTAGGTTTATGCGAAGCTGTTCAACAGCTTCCTTGTGCAAACCCTGTGCCTGCCACTGTCAGCCCTGGGGGCTCTGTGGGGACCAAAACAAGCCCAGTCTCTCCCCTCGCAGACAGAGTACAGAAAGTTCACAGATGGATGGCACAGACCTGCTTTCTGGTGCTGAGGGCAGGCACACACGTACAACCCAAGACATGGCTCGTTTCAGAAATGAGTTGGTCACAAGATTCTTGTGTAGGAGGTGTGTTAATGAGCATGTGCACTGTCCCTACGGAGCGTACAAGACATTCTCTAGACAGCAAATGGTCGAGAGGAGGCCACGCACTTATTCTATAAGCAGCGATCTTGGCATTGATATGTCTTTATGGAGTTCATGGATGTGCTTCAGAGGGCCTAAGAATATATATAGTAGAGTTTTAATTGAGAATGGGAGTGAGTGAAAGAGAAGAAGGAAAAGGAATTTCAGAACACAAAATACGTGTCATGTGGAAAATAAGCTGGTTCTGTAGAGTGACGGAGTGGTGAGGGAAAAGGGCCTGGGGTCAGGTGGCAGAGGGTCAGGAATGTCCACTGCGGGGAGAGCAGGGGCTCTTGGGGGGTTTTGAAGAGAGAGAAGGCATGCTGTGCCACTGTCACAGGATCTTGAGCCCACTGCCTTTCTGTTCCCCTGCCGATGGCTGCCCCCTTTCTAACCCAAGTGGGCTGAATCGCCAGCGTGCCAACAGTGTGAGCCGCTCAAACATGAGGTTGGAACTGAAATCGCGAACAGAGTGCTCTCTCACTTCATCACCATGTTTCATAGTGATCCCCCAAATGTCCTTCAGTTTTATTGGTTTGCCCTAAGTTGCAAATTGAGTACATAGCACTTTTGGAGCAAGGAGATAATATATGTCTCAGGCACAAAAAGTTGTGGACGCTCGTATGAAAAATCATACCAGATTCTGACAGCAAAACACTCAGAAAATCATGATTATATCTTAGAACGTGAAAAGGTCAGTAACTACCCACATGATTCCAAAGAGAAATGAGGGACAGTGAGCCTGGAGAGCTCTCCCTGGGATGGTGGCGTGGGGACACTGACCCAAGTCCAGTGCTCCTGGCCCAGTTCTCAGTCCCCGCCCCCACAGAAGGGCCAGGGCTCGGGCTGGCTGACATGTCCCCACTTCTTCCCCAGCTTTCTGGTGGCTGCGAGCTGACCGTGGTGATCCACGACTTCACCGCATGCAACAGCACTGAACTGACCATCCGCCGGGGCCAGACCGTGGAGGTTTTGGAGCGGCCCCATGACAAGCCTGACTGGTGTCTGGTGCGGACCACCGACCGGTCCCCAGCCGCGGAGGGCCTGGTTCCCTGCGGCTCCCTGTGCATTGCCCACTCGAGAAGTAGCATGGAGATGGAGGGCATCTTCAACCACAAAGGTAGGAGCCCACGGGGCGTGGATGGCAGGCACCTTGGGCATGACTGTGGTGTGCCTGCGCCGCCTCTCTGCCACCCCTTGTACTTCCGCCCACTCTCCCTGTGTCTCCAGGCCTCTTTACTGCATTAGGAGCTGAAGTGGAAAGGAGGATTGCACCTGTTACTCAGAAATAACGAAT